CCCTAAGATGAAATCTGTGCGTTGTGATGCATTAGAGGCTGGTGAACCCTGAGGAGCCATCTTGAAATGGGCCAGAATGAAGTAGAATGTGTTGGCAGCAGTCACCCACACCAAAGGTAAGTCTTGGTTTCCGAAGCCTTTGCTCTTTGCCTCAGCGTGGGTCAGCACAGGTCAGTGTGCACCAGAGGGGCTGGTGTTGTCAGGGAGGTAACTTCCTGAGCTCTGGTTGCATAAACCTGAAAGCCATTTGCCTAAGTAATGGAATTGGTGACCTCGGAACTCCAGTCCCACAGGAGAGCCATTACGGAGTGCCAGTGCGATGCCCGGCCTCCCACCCCGTCATTTTGCTGTGACTCAAGGAACTTCCTGTTGCCCTGACCCTCGAGGTATTCCTTTACTGCTAAGGGAAGTGTCAAAGGTGCGGCGCAAGCCTGGGGATCTGTGTGGCTAGAAGACTCAGACAGGTGGCTCCCATTCTGGTCCCCTGTCCTGGAAGTGGGGATGCCTGGCCAGGGTTGCTGTAAGGGACGCAGGGAGGGGCCTGACCACAGTGGCTGCTATGGCTTGTCCTTCTTTCCTTCCACCTCTGTTCCTTGGAGGACAGGCTTAGTACTGACGATAATGCTGGTGTTTCAGCCAGGGTCTGATTTCTCACTAAATAGTCACAGAGCTTGCCTTTGATCTTTGAGAAGCTTGCAGTCTTTTCTTTTGTTTTTCTGCCCATATAGGTAGATAGACTGGAAAAAGTAAAAAAGGAAACTTACATATACTTACTAGAAATAAACTACAATAGTATACAGTCAACAAAGCACAGAGAAAGTAGAGAAAGCTCTCTTCTATATCATTCTGAAAATAAATGGTACACCTGGTCCATATGCCTTTTTTTTAAAAAAAAAAACAACTCAGGACCTGTATGTAATTTCTTAGCTTTTATGTTCAATGCTAGCACTTGACCCACAGCTTAATTTCCAGTTTTTTTTGGTGGTTAATTGGAGACAGAGAGTCCCACAGACTTTCCTGAATGGGCTAGCTCTGAACCATGATCCTCGGGTCTCTGCTTCCTGAATAGCTAGGATTGTAGGTGTGAACTGCCAGTGTCTGTCTTACAGGAAAATGTAGCTTAACACTTTCATTAAGTGGACCTAACATTCGACTTTCCAAGAACTAAATAGGTCTTTTTCTTGTCTGTTTTCCATGTGGCCATTTGGGTATCTTATCCATGGTGTAGCAGCCCCCTGGCTCCCAGAATTTTCTTTGTACAGAACAGACTCTTAGAAGCAATGGGATTTGGTATCAATAGGGCAGGGCCTGGTGAAGCAGAGCTGTGTTTGGAGGACACAGAGGCCATCCACTGCAGTCCTCGCTGCGTATGTTCTTGCTCTTTCTTTATTCACCATTTCAGCCTCTCCTTTCTTGTGGCTGCCGCCTCCGTCGCCTCCCTCCCCGCCCATGCTGGTGCTCTTGGTGCATGGCACAGTTCCTTCTTGATGAGCTCTTGAGTCCCCAGGGTCTCCAACCTCCACTTAGCACAGTGTCAGCACCTCACAGAGGCCTTGGTAACATTTGAGGAACGAGTGAGTGGAGTCACACAGGGAAGCAGGCACTGCACTGGCCTTTATTCCTGAGAAGTCATTCCGAGAGGAATCGCCACCTTCCTTGTGGTGAGCCTGATACATGTACTTCAGTGCTTTTGGGGGCCAGAGGGCCTGCTGCTGGGGTACCACCAACCAGGGGAGGTCACTCAGAAACTTAGGAACTCAGAAAGAGGCTGGTCCTGCACCGCATAGTATGGCTGTGGCCTTGTGTGGCCGTGGCCTTCTGTCAACAGGTCTTTATTACTTTGAAGGCATCCTTTTTTTTAAATTTTGTGGTCCTGGGGCCTGAACTCTGGGCCTGGGCACTGTCCCTCAGCTCTTCAACTCAGCTATCGTTCTACCACTTGAGCCATAGCACCACTTCTGGCTTTTTCTGCTTATATGGTGTTGAGGAATTGAATCCAGGGCCTCATGCATGCAAGGCAAGCACTCTACCACTGAGCCACCCTCCCAGCCCCTTTGAAGGCATCTTTATTTACAAACAGACGGAGAGGGCTGAGTTCTTCCCATCCTTACAGCTACTGTCTCTGGTGCTCCTCACCTTTGCTGGGAGCTCTTTTAACAGTGGGCCTTTTTAAGTGTTTGGGTTTCATGTCTGGCTAGGCATTGAGGTTTGGAAAAAGAAGTAAATGAGCCTTAAGAGTCTGCTCTTCTCCCAGCCCCTTTTACCACTGTCTACGTCCTTCGGACTGTCTTCAAAGGCATCAAGAATCAGGGCCCTGATAAGCTCTAAGATAAATTGCTTTCAGACTATCAGGGATTAAAAGAAGAAAAATCAAATAGCTCGGGCTCAGGGGAGATCCACGTAAACTCCTTCAAAGCCTTTCTGAACATCTCCATCAACTCTGATGACAAGGCAGCCGGGTGGGGCCTCTTCCTCCGGAGGCTGGTGGGGCTCTGAGTGTCTTTCCAAAATAGCGTTGCTTCTGAGGTCAAGGGAAATGGAGGGCGGGGACAGGAGCACACGAAGAAACCCCAAGCCTGCGATGCCACCTAGGGGACGTGTGTGGAACTGTCCGGCCAGAGAGCTTGACTGTTCCTAATGCTGCCTGGATTTATCATCCAACATCATGGGAGTTTCTTGGTGCTGGGAGTTGGGTGGGGAAGAAATCCAGCTTGTTTACTTGTTCTGAGGGACTTTCATCTGTCAGGATAAAGTGCCCTTTTCCTAGGTGTGTGCTGGGAACACAAGCCTCAAGTGTTTTGCAACAGCAACCCACAAAGGAATTTTGGGGTGGCTCATTTGGATTCCCCCCAGAGAGCCCTGGGGTGTGTCAGCCCATGAGAAGGTGCGCAGCACAGGCTGAGTTGGGCAGTGACAAAGGTAAAACCAAGCATCCGTCTTTGTGGTGTACCAAGCCCTCACGCTGGGCTGTAGGCCAGGCTCCTTTCTGAGCACCCAGTGTGCTCTCTTTTCTTTCTTCTCCTCTGTGACCCTGTGAAGCAGTTAGTGTTCTTATTGCCACTTAACAGCTGATAAAAACAGGGAACTAAGAAGTTAAATCACAGCAATTAAGTGGTGAAACCAGGAGTTAGTGCTGCGGCTTGGGGGCCTTGGGTGTGTATTGCTGCTCACCGCTCACAGAGTGCCCAAAGCTGGGCTTGGACATCCAGCTCCCTGTGCTGGCAGGAGCCGGAGCCCATTCCTAACAGAGTATGGGACAGAAAGCACCTGCCCTCAGGAAGTTCCTCACGAAGTGGCTGCCACTGTTCGGTTGTTATTTAGAGGCATGGAGGGCTGGTTCTGCGGTCTGAGGAGTAGAAGACGGTGGCTGGGAATTAATTCTCCTTCCTCCAAGTCTGTGAGCATGGGTGACGCCACCCAGAATCCCCCACCTCAGCATTTTCCAGCAGTCATGGCCCCTGTAGCTTTGCCTTGGTGTCTTGTTCATCTGGGTGCACAGATCCTTCCAAACAGAGTTGGGCTTTCTGCGAGATGGGTTTGAGAAGTGCATCCACTGCCACACACTGGCTACGTAAGACACATTTGTCCTCTCTCCGTCTTGGAGACCATAAGTCTGTACTGGGTGTCAGCAGGACTGCTTTCCTCTGAGGACTGGGAGTTGGGATAGCTCTGGCCTCCCCTGGTTTCTGATGACTTGCTGGTGATCTTTGGTGTTTCTTAGCTTGTAGATATAATGACATTCCAGCTTCTATCTTCTATGTTGTCCTGAAATTCTTGCTCTATGTGTGTGTGTGTGTGTGTGTGTGTGTGCGCGCGCGTGCAAATTTTTCCCTTCATTTATAAGGAGACTAGTCATGTTGTGCTAGTCTGCCCCAGTAACTTTGTTTTACCTGGGTTGCTTCTGTGGAGATCTCTGAGGTAGTGGAAGGTAGGATTCCAGCGTATGGGTATTGTGAGGACACAGTTCCACACATGGCACACATTTCCCACCCCCTGTGGGGAGAACTAGTGTGACTTAGATTGGGAGTGCGCTCTGGCATGAAATGGGGTGGGCAAAAGCCAGGGCTTGGTGATCTGCGGAGCTGCTTCCTAGTTGAGGATGTGTCCTGTAGCGACCAAGTTGACCCTGCCAGCAGAGGTAGAGCTTCCTCCTCTCCACAGCCTTGGGGTCCTGGTTTGGGGGAGAGGCAAGAGACAGCCTGAGTGAGTATCTGAGCCTCCACTTCCAGCACTTGCCCTTCCCCTCAGACTTTGGGTCCTTCCCCTTGGGCCTGGGCTTCTTAATCTGAAACAGGCACATCTTGACTTTTTGAGTGCTTACAAGTCTCTGTATAATAATGAAATCCCATGCGAAGCACACGTTCAGTGCTGAGGACATAACGCACTGTCGGGCCTGGGGGGCTGCTCCATCTGTGTGGTGGAAACGTGGCCTTGAGGTTGAGTGCTTCCCTTATCGCTTCCCAACACTGTCTCCTCCTCAGTCTCTTCTACTGTTCTGCTCTCCAGGCTGAGCAGGGACTGAGGAGCTGTCTGTCAGTGTTTGGAAGGATGCACGGTGTTCGTTTGGTTTGGGTGGGCTCTTGCTGCTGTTAGTGGTTGTGGTGACTGTGGGTGGTGATAGTGATGATGATGGTAATGATGGTGATGATCACGGTGGTAATGATAATATTTGTAGTGGTGAGGATGCAGTATTGATGACAGTATAGTTGTAATGAGGGTGGTTATGGCAGTATCGATGGTGGTGATGATGACGTGGTGATGCTGATGACTACATCGTGGTGTGATGATGGTGGTGGAAGTCACATGTTGATTAGCATTGTTAGTATGATAATGATGGTAGTGATGATCATGGTGGCTGTGGTGACTGTGTTGATGGTGATGAGGATGATGATGATGATGATGATGATGATGATGATGATATAGTGGTAGTAGTAGTTGCTCTTCTATAAAGCCTAGACTTAAACAATACAGTCAATTGACTTTATTATCTTTCTATTAAGGACAAAAGGAGTTATTCTTGTCCTGTGTGTGAAAAGTCTTTTTCAGAAGACCGATTGATAAAGTCACATATCAAGACCAACCATCCTGGTAAGATTATGGGTTTTAGAGAAGATTAATTTTAACATGCTCATGAATATGATCAAAGTATAGTATATACATGGTGGCCAATCATGATGAAATTACATGTAGTTTAATACATGTTGATAAAATTGCTAATGTTTAGTTTAAAACCCAGCATTATATATAATTTTCACTATATGAAAATGAAAACAAAAATAAGCAGGGGCTAGGTGTGGTGGTTCATGCCTATAATTGTAGTGATGGTCTAGAGAGGACTGGAGTCTGTGGCCAGCTCTAGGCAAAAATGTGAAATCTGGAGAATAACTAAAGCAAACATGGATCAAGTGTAGAGCACCTGCCTAGCAAGCATGAGGCCCTGAGTTCAGAGTTCAGTTTTACCCCTCCAAAACAACAGCCGTAGAAACCAAACAAAGCCACTTCCATCCACCATACCACCGGCACAGTGCAGAATTAACTGTGGTCTCTGTTACCACCTAGGGTTTGTGCATTTAAAATTTCCCAGTTTGATCCAAGAGGATGCTATGGTTTTTTTTGTTTGTGCTAGTCCTGGAACTTGATCTCAGGGCCTGGGTATTGCCCTTGAGTTTTATTGCTTGAGCCATAGCTTCACTTCTGGCTTTTTGGAAGTTAATTGGAGATAAAGAGTGTCATGGACTTTCCTGCCAAGACTGGCTTTGAACCATGATCCACAGATATCAGCCTCTTTACTAGCTTGGATTATGTGTGTGAGCCATCAGTGCCCAGCTATAGTGTTTTTTGTTTTTTTTTTTTTTTGGTCCGGTCATGGAGCCTGAACTCTGGGCCTGGGCGCTGTCCCTCACATCTTCAGCTCAAGGCTAGCGCTCTACCACTTGAGCCACAGCGCGCCACTTCCGGCTTTTTGCTTTTTGCTTAGGTGGTGCTGAGGAATCGAACCCAGGGACTCAGGCATGCAAGGCAGCGCTCTACCACTGAGCCACCTTCCCAGCCCCCTACAGTGTTTTTTTTAAGTTGAGATATAAGGATTTTTGCTTAGTGATTATGTCACTTAATTTTCTTATATTCTATAAGTTTTCCCCTGAGTTTCTCTACCTATTTCCTTCCTTCCTTCCTTCCTTCCTTCCTTCCTTCCTTCCTTCCTTCCTTCCTTCCTTTCTTTCTTCCTTCCTCTCTCTCTCTCTCTCTTTCTTTCTTTCTTTCTTGGTTGTGGGCCTGAACTCTGGGCCTGGGCACTGTCCCTCCGCTCTTCAGCTCAAGGTTAGAGCTCTACCACTTGAGCCACAGTGCCACTTCTGGCTTTTTCTGCTTATGTGGTGCTGAAGAATTGAACCCAGGGCCTCATGTATGCAAGACAAGCACTCTACCACTGAGCCACCTTCCCAGCCCTTTTCTACCTATTTCTAAGGCACTGATTTCTGGGAGAAATGAGATGCTTTTACTATAGACAGTTTCATATACTAACCCTGACTACTGCTTCGCAATAGCTAGTTAGACATGAAGCTTGTCAGGTTCTACTTTACCTTTCAGGCAGGATTGCTGTCCTGTGACACCTTGAGGCACACCCTGGCTTTCCCCCTTAGTGATGTGGGTGCTGCTACAGACTTATGTCTAATGGAATGGGGACATTTGCTTCTCTGATTACAACTTGCCTTTTCTTCCAGAGGTTTCCATGAGCACCATTTCTGAGGTGCTTGGGAGGAGGGTCCAGCTGAAAGGGCTGATTGGAAAGAGAGCTATGAAGTGCCCATATTGCGACTTCTATTTCATGAAGAATGGCTCAGATCTTCAGCGTCATATTTGGGCTCATGAAGGTGAGTAGCAGTCCTTCTGCAGGGAGCATGGCTTCGTGTTTGTGCTTGGTTAATTCATTTTGAGAGCCTTGTCTTCTCCTCTCTGTTGTTAGATTTCTTCAGCCTGAAGAGCTGTGTCGGTCAGCCAGCAAAGAAGCAGGGAGTGAAATCACTACCTGATTCATGACATTTGCAGGGAGTGGAAGTGAATACTTTGTCTTATCTCTGACTGCAATTGTAGTGAAATAAATCACTACACCTTCCTTAGTAGCAAGCAGACACCCTGAGAAGAGGAACACCTGTGTCTCATTCAGGGCAGTGATAGCTATGCGTACCATGTAGTGCCTTGTGCACAGCTAGCCTTGAGGAACTATTGGTATTAGAATGGAGATGAGGCCGGGTACCAGTGGCTCACACCTATAAGCTTAACTACTCCTGAGGCTGAGATCTGAGGGTTGCAGTTCAAAGCCAGCTCAGGCAGGACTATCCATGAGATACTGATCTCCACTTAACCACCAAAAAGCGTGAAGTAGAGGTGTGACTCAGTGCTAGAGCTCTAGCCTTAAGTAAAAAAAGCTCAGGGACAATGCCTAGGCTCTGAGATTAAGCTCTAGGACATACACACACACACACACACACACACACACACACACACACACTGCCTAGGCTCTGAGATTAAGCTCTAGGACACACACACACACACACACACACACACACACACACGGAGATGAGGGGGGAGGCATTGCAGAGAAAGAATGTGAGCCATGCTCTGGGGCTACTTGCCTGGAAAGGGAAGTATGAGAAAGCCACTGCTGGAACCCTGAGAGGCTGGAAATGAAGATTCTAGTAGAGCAGCCTGCCACCAACTTTGTTTTTTCCGCTACGTGAGCCTCCTAGAGAGGAAAGAGGCGTGGAGAACCGGGGAAAGCCCTTCTAGATGTTTGCATTGGGCCCCCTACTAGTTAGGAACCTGGGATGTTGCAGGTAGGAGGAGGAGACTATAGAGTGGAAGAAAGGATAAAATGTTTTCTGTATGGAGGTACGAATGACCTGGGATAGGCCTCAGAGAAGGAATGCACTGGGAGGGACTAACAGTTCAGCAGAGAGAGAAGGCAGATGAGGAAGACACAGCGCCAGGCTGGGTGGTGCTTCCTGGTTCACCAGCATGGCTGGGCCCGTGGCGGCTGCCAGGCAGAGTGCTCAGTGCCCTGCCCATCCTGCCTAACCCTTAGAGGAGATGCTCATCTCCATTCTCCAGTGTGGATAATGAGCCTCATGAGGTTTGAGTTATTTGCTAGCTAACAAATAGTGGAGCTAGCTCCTGCCATCTGCTTCTGAAGCCCTTACTTCTCACCTCTCCTCTCCTCTGCTGTATCTCGGGAGGGAGACACTTCCTGGCTGAGGCGGGGCTGAAGGGGCTGAGAGTGGTACAGGTGAGCATGGACCTGAGGTTTCCTTGTCATGGCGCTAAAGGCTTTTCTAGCCGTTGGCCACAGTTTCCTCAGCAAAAAGGAGGGAGAAGCCTCTGGGTGGAGGATGGTTTAGAAAACACTTGCTGGAATCACTGAAGGGTTGCCCAGGGACAGAGATCAAGGGGCTGACCCCAAGGGGAGCCAGAAAAGCCAGAGGCCCTAGAATTGTAAGGCATATAATGATTAACTCACATGAGAGAGCACAGGACTGGAGTGGGGGAGAGTGGTTCAAATCTGCCTTTGCCATTTACGAGCTGTGGGATGAAAGAAATATCCCATTCTTCTGACCTTCAGCCTGCTTACCTATATAACGGCATTTATTACAGGGATTAGTGAACTAATTTGTAGAAAATCCTCAGTGGGTGGCTTAGCCCACAGTAGGGCTGAATACCTGGTTGATACTGTTACATTTATGAATGTAAATGGTGCACTAGTATTGCATACTTGCCATTTAGGAGAAATTCAATATTAAAAAAATGGAGAATTGTGATATAAAAGTTCCAAAAGCCAAGAGATGCTGCATTTTGTTAACATGTTCTAGTATTGTGTTTTTATAGTTGAGAAATTTTTCTATGATAAAAGAAATGCTGGAGTATACTGTTCATATACTCTCCACCTGTATACCCTCTACCATATATTCTCCATACATATACTCTCTACCTATATACCCTCTACCTGTGTACTCTCCACTCGTATATTCTCCACTGGTGTGCTGTACCATATATTCTCCATCTGCATAATCTCCATCCATATACTCTCTAACTGTATACTCCTACCTGTGTACTCGCCACTGGTATACTCTCCACCATATATTCTCCATCTGTATAATCTCCATCCATATATACTCTAACTGTATACTCTCTACCTGTGTACGCTCTACCATATACTTTCCACCCATATACTATGCAGCCATATACTCTCCATTCATGTACTCTCCATCCTGTGCCTTCCATCTGTATGCTCCACAATATTTGGCGTTTTATATTTAATCCCTGCACCATTTTTTTCCTTCTCTATTTGCTCTCAAAATAGAACATGGGACAAGAAAAACAGAAATGAAAATAATAGGTGAATAAAAGAGGAAAAAAAAGCATAGAAAACATCGAGAAAGGAGAAAAGACAAATCATGGGTAATGGTATAGGCTTGAACTTGACTCTGCACAGAGAGGTTTATTCATGCACTCGGCGTTGTCTGCTCAGAGCACCTGTAACTTGGTTCAGGCTCTTATAATGGTCAAATCATAAGTTGGGACTGATTCACTACTGCTGCTTTAAACACTGGCTCTGGACAGGTAGATAAAGACAAGACTAAAGTAGACAGTGCCTTAGGGCCTTGCTGTGTGGTGGAGGCACATGGGTATCTGTTGAAGAAAGCATTAGTTCCAGTGCCGAGATGTCTCTATACAGTGTGAGCTGCTGGCCCCCAGCAACAACCAGCGCTGTACAACACTGTTTCATGAACTAAAATCTATTTACATTTAGTCCTAAGTGCCACATCCCATGGGTTTTTGCAAAGGCCCTTGGAGGCTTTCCTTTTATTCTGTAGGCTATTCAGTTCAACTGACTTTAGTGACCATCTGCTTTGCAGATTTCCCGGGGTCTGTACCCTCAAGGAATTTCCAGAGTATGGGAAGAGGCAGAGGTGAACAACTCACTGCGACATACCACGAGCATTCTGGTAGTAGGGAGTTCCAGGACTGAGGAAGATTGATGGGCCCCTAGGGACATCTGTGTGGGAAGGTCAGAAAGCTGCAGGGTGAGGGTCACTGGTGTCCTAAGGATGCGGCCTTATCAGAGGAGCCTGGCATGGGGAGAATGGGGCTTGTGTGGAACACACGAGGGCCCTGCTTTCTTTATCTAGGTATGATATGTTCCTTTGGCCTTGCAGACACATGCATGCACATATACATACAGATCTATCCTTTTTTCTTCCCCTGGTAGGTGTTAAGCCTTTTAAGTGTTCTTTGTGTGAGTATGCGACTCGCAGCAAGAGCAACCTCAAGGCTCACATGAATCGTCACAGCACTGAGAAGACCCACCTGTGTGACATGTGTGGCAAGAAATTCAAGTCCAAGGGGACCTTGAAGAGTCACAAGCTCCTTCATACGGCTGATGGTGAGTCCCTCGCCCCGGGGATCTGCTGCGGATGTGCGTGTGCATTGGCAGCTGCCATTCCAGGCCCGCAGGGAGAGAGCCCCTCTGTGAGGATGGGTGTCCTCACAGGGCGGCTGCGTCCTGGCCTGACTCCCTCCCCTCCGTGCCCAGACATAGCTGGCCCCGACTCCAGCAGGTACTGCACAATGTCTCTTCCGGTGTGTAAGAGTGAGGAGGGGCATGGAGAGGGAGGCCGCGCAGGGAGGGAATCATCCTCAAGAGGAAGTGTCTGTCCTCTTCCTCCCTCCATCCCACCTGCAGCCTGATGATCTTAAGAATGCCCCTGGTCACACCTAGTTTGAGTTTTGCAGTAGCTGCTCTTTCCACCCAGGGCACCTTAGAGTTCCTGTGTGCGGTCCAAACAGGGCTCAGCCTAAAATACAATGTGTGTGTGTAGTTTTGACTTTGATGAGGGATAGCTCAATGGATTTCTAAGTTCATATTCCTCGAGAAATGGTGATTGAATACTTGTATATGACAATGTGAGGTAGATTTTTGGAACACCAGGTCAGAAAGCACCGATTTCTTTGAGAGGTTTTGATCTAGAATGGAGAACCAGATAAACAGGCAGTCATCTGAAGATGAGTGTTAAGATGACAGCAAACCCAGGAGACTTGGGAATGAGGGCACAGAGCTAAGAAAGTCCTCCTGCTGTGGACTCCGTATCAGGAAATAGCTCTTCTAGAAAGACATGCAACTTAACCATAAAGCAATTTTAAGTTTGCTTAGAAGCCCCTATTGTGTGAGGGACTTGTGAACACAGTAATGAAACTAATAAAACTTTATTGACAAATGTACTGTTATTTCAGCATTATTATATTTGACAATGTGTGTATTAGTATTTTGTTGCAGAACTCAGAGGGGATTATGATGATTGCCCCTCTCTCGTTATTATCACATGTTCTGGGATCATCTTGTGTGCGAGCTGGTCAGGTCCTGGGTGAGAATTTGGTTGAGCCTGATGAACTCTGGAAAGGCTGGATGCTTGGCTTAGATTCATCAGAATTGTGGATTTAAGGGCTTGCTGGAGGCTGAAAAAGAACCAGAGTCATACCTGTTAAAATTTAGTGCTATCTAAGTAAGAAAATCCATAATGAAAATAAAATATCCAGTGACAGTAAGGCAGTCATATGTAAGGAGTGAACCATTAAAGTCATGTGGTTATTTATGAAATGTGTGCCTCCACAAACCACACTGAGTCTTCCAGCTAGAACTGTGTTTATTGGTGTGATTGCATATTTCTCATAGACGTCCTCAGTTGCAAAGTTCTGCTGTCCCCAGACACACATGGTGGGCTGGAGTGTTCTTTGGGTGATGGGCATGGGTAGGAGGGTGTTCACCGGGACCAAAGATGGTGCTGTGGCCCCAGGTCTACCTCTGTGATGTGGGTTGAGCTCCTGGGAGGCTGTGCACACAGACAGACTCTGGAAGACTGCTGTCACACGTGGAGGGAAAGACTTGCATGAGGTGTGGTGTCCAAATGACATGCTCAGTGTGTCCTGAGTTCTTCAGTAGGACAGGGAGTGCTGATAGACAGGGCTGTGCTGCCATCAGAGCAGCAATGAGGCCTTGGGACAAGGGAATGGCCTCCAAACCTCATGATATATTTAACAGAACAGTGGAAATTTGTACTGGGTCTCTGCATTTTATTCTATTTTTCTGACATTCTGGGGAGCTTTGTTGTGCTGCACAATGAAGGGATGAGACTTTAATATTTCAGCCTTAGTGCTATAGGGGATGCAGGATGAGGAGGCTACTAGCCTGGAGGTGTGAGGCTGGTGTGGTTTGATCCTGGGTGAACTGGAGATGACTGCTTTCCTGACTGTCGAGTCTTGTGATTTGTGTTCCCCTGCCGACACTTGTCTTCTTGAAGGGTGCTGGTATACTGAGTGTTGAGCCCGAGGTACCTAACCTAGTTCCACTGATTCTGAGCCACCTAGCGTTCATCACCCTACAGGGTTTAGTTTTCTCTTTTCATCTTATAAAAAGCATTTACTTTTACCCCCCAGAAACATTTTTTTTTTGCCAGTTCTGGGGTTCGAACTCAGGGCCTGGGCACTGTCCTTGAGATGCTTCTGCTCAAGGCTAGCACTCTACCACTTGAGTCACAGTGCCACTTCTGGCTTTTTCTGTTTATGTGGTACTGAGGAATTGAACCCAGGGCTTCATGTATGCTAGGCAAGCTCTCTACCACTGAGCCACCTTCCTAGCACCCCCTTCCCCTAGTAAAATGTTTAACAGATTTTGAAACAAACTTATATTAATTACTAACTTCTACAGTGAATATCACATTTTATCTTACTGATTTAATAGAACTCTTTACATGTTAATAGTTAATCATATTTTATAAATACTTCTCCCAAGTTATCTTTCTTACTTAGGGTATGTTTTTTTCTCTCTCTTTTTTATTGTCAAGGTGATGTACAGAGGGGTTACAGTTAGGGTACTGTTTTATATACAGAAGTGGAATCACTTTGCTTCTTTAAATATGTCTGTATTTTCCATTATTTTTTATCCTCCATGAAGTGTCTGTGATAAAAGAAACCTTCCTCATCTTGGGGAAATTCCTTTACTTTGAAGTGTTATTTCTGGTTTCATGACATCTATGGCATTTCCTCTTCTTGAAGCTTCCTTTGGTGTGTCTGTGTGGTAGGAACCTTCATTTCCACACGGTTGTCCTCTCCTCCCTCTGATAGAAACGGAGAAAGCGGTCTGAACTTTCAATCCAGTATGCTGTGCTGGACTTCCCAGGATGTCTGCTCTCATCTGAGAGTTTGGTCTGCCTCAATGATTTTTGTTCTAGTGCACTGTTTCAGAAGGTATTGCTTTAATATTTAGAATTTTATTATTGCACACATGCATGCTGTTTCATTCTGTTTTCTTTTTCATGGATACTTCTTCATTTTCTCATTGAAGTATTATTCCTTTGGGTAAACTCGAAACTGTCCAGTCAAGTTAAGAAAAGCATCTCCACCTCCATCTACTGGATGGCCTTGAGTACCCTCTGCTGATGTAGGTAATGAGCTCTGGACTCTCCAGGCCTACGCTTGTACTCATTGCTTGGTTGCCTTGATGGAGGGCTCCGCCTGTCACCGGAGGGCACTTTGCAGTGAGCAGCAAACATTGCTTTGAACTCTTTGGCCTCTGGTGTATTTGTCATGTCAGCAGGGACTCAGGGTGCTTTTGTCGAGAAGCCGTGGGTCGAGCTGGGAAGGCCTGTCTTGAGTCTTGTGTGGCCCCTTCCTTGTGGGGTGACTATGGGAAGATTACTTCCCAGAGCCTCAGTTTTCTGATCAATTGAATGAGGACAGCTGCACCCCCTTTCTGGGTGATTTCTGAGCTCTCCCTCCCCTATGAGGTAGAAGAACCCCACAGGGTGCTGAGTTTTCTCCTGCCTTCCCAGTTGTCTCTCCCAGTCACCTGGAAGGCCTCAGGGCACAATCTGTGGGGCTTTTCTTTCCGTGTGCACACCCTAGTTGATTCTCCTCTTGCATGGCTTTTGTACACCGTTAACGTGGAGGGCTTGCACACTGCCGTTCCCAGTCTTGTCTTCTCCAAGCCTCAGCTCTGTCCCCACGATGGCCCACTGCCCGCCTGCCCACAGGTGTTTCCAGGACCCCTTGAACCTTGTGTTTTCATCGCAAGCGCCTGGCTTTCTTCCCTAGTCCTGGGCTCCTAGGTCCAGGGTGTATTGACATAATGACTACTTTTGGCTTTGGGGCCACATAGTTTCTGCCCCCATCTTTCCTTTGCTTTTGCTTTGTAAAAGCCTATTGGAAATTATCTTGCCCATGTAATTGTAACCCCTCTGTACAGTATTTTCACACACACACACACACACACACACACACACGCCTATTGGAAGCATGTACAAGTCGCTCTTCCTCTGGCTGCCAGCCTTGCTTGGCATGTCAGACTCTACTGACTCCTGCTGCACTCCAGCTGGCGCAGTCAGGCTCACAGGTCTGGGTGAGTCTCACCTGTCTGCTGTCACGAGCCGCACACGTGCTTTCTCCACCCGCTCCCTGGCACTGCCTGGCAGCCTTTCCGTGTCCAGGCCAACCATCTCCTGCCTCCGTTCCTTCTTCAGAAATTTAACATAGGCTTATTTGGTCATCTCTTTCTTACTTGCACATAAAATAAAAATAAGTAATTTGGTGTTTTTAAATGAAAAAGTGTTTCCTTTTGGGGTAACTTTTCTGAATGTCGCTGGCCAAGCAGTCAGTGTCTGAGGTCATTGCTGGTCCCTTCCCAGCACCGTCTCTGGCACTGTTTCCACAGCTGTGGCACCCACTCTGCTGGCTTTGTTGCTGACCCTCTCTGCTCCTGTGGGGACAGCATGATCTGGTTGTAGACATGCCTCTTTGCTTTGACATCCTATCATACTCTAAGGACTGTGGGTGTGTCTCTGCTTCTGGCTGAACCATTTAGGCCACAGGAGGCCATTCTTTTGCACATGCCTAGTGACCTGCTACCACTCATCTCTCCTTGCCAGACCCCTTTCATAGATTGTTGGTTTGCAGAGAAACATGGTATCAGAGCTCTCCCTTGAGGGTGAATGTGTGTCACCATTGTCACATAGATGCCCTGCTGCTTGCCCTTCATTTTGGTGGACATGGCAGCCATTCACTTGAAAAGTGCAATTAAAAATGTTTAAAGTTGGTCAGTGGTGCTGGGGATTCAACCCAGGGCCCCACATATGCTAAGTAAATATTGTTCCACTAAGATACATCCCAGCCTCTTGAGTAGGAAGAATATGACCTGAATATTCCTCAAACTCCACACATACACCCCAACCTTCATGTAACTTAACTGAAATGATGACATGAGCATTCAGACCAGCTTCTCACCTGAATGGTGTGGACTGCCTGGGCTGCCGGACTTGGTGTCAGGTCATGCAGATACTCAAGACCTGTTCTGATTTCAGACAGTAAGGTACGAAAACCACGCATCCCAGAACT